GCTTAGGCGACACTGTGCTCTTAACTATCCTACTGACGTCATTCATCATCATGTTACACAATGCCGCATGTTTCAATCGCAATAGAAGTCGAAGTCATCGTCTCTGCCTGGGGCAGGGCACCCTCTCTCCTTACCCCTCCTGTTGGGGAGCTGGAGTGAAGTAGGGGTGGAATAACAAGCCTGGCCCCCACCTTACCATTCTGAGGCTAGCCACCAGCATGGGCAGCCTTCATGGGTAGTTAGGTCTCTTGGCTGGTCCCCGGGCCAGCACAGGCCCAAGACTGGGCCGCATGGTTTTATTTTTATTTAACTTTATTTTCTGTGTGTGTGTCTCTGTCTGTCTGTCTGTCTGTCTGTGTCCAACCCCCTCCAGTGTTAAGTGGGAGCCTGGGGGAGTCTCTCGCTTCCCCACATCTCCCAAGTCCTTCCCTCTGTCACCAGCCATCCCTCTGGCCCAGGCAGAGTGGGTGTCGGGCAGGTAGGGACCTGGAGTGGCCTGGTCCTACCCTCCGGCCTGTGGACTCCTCCTCAGGCCGCCAGTGTTGCCCCCTCCCTTTTTAAAACAAAATACCCTTGTTTGTAAGTCCTTAGACGCTTGAGAATAAAACCCTTCCTTTTCTTCTGAGTGTGTTGTCCTAAGCCTGGTAGAGTTTATAGAGATCGGGGAAGGGGCTGGGAGGAGGGTGGGGGAGCTGGGCAGGAGGTGCTTGGAGTGACTTAGGGTATTAAGCTGCTTTGTGAGGGGCCCTCTTCCTCTAGAAATTTCAGCTCATCAAGAAAGCCCTTATCCATGCAGGCCTTGAGCATGGGCTCTGATGTCAGCCCCTGCGTCCTCCACCCCCGCTCCCTGTTTCCCAGGGTGGCAGACTCGCCAAGGCCAGGGCTGCCTACCCACACCTACAGGGCTGAGTACAGCCCAACCAGGTGCCTGCTGCTGGCCTGGAGCATTCCGACCTGGACAGGCCACCATGGTGGGCACTACACTCCTGCTCCTGGCCCTGCTCCCTGGGACTGCCACTGTGCTCAATGAACCACTTGGTATGTAGAGGCTGGCACAGGGGGCGGGGGCACCATGTTCCACTTCCCTACTCTTCCTTCTCAACTTAGTTTTGCACCTGGCTGTGTTGGGGGTGCCGGGGTGCCATCCCCTTGCCTCTCCCCCGAGCTAGCCCCTCTGCCAGTTTCCTCAAGGTTCTCAACAACCTAGTGACGGCAAGGGCTGTGGGGATGGGACCAGGTGTGCAGATCAAATCGTTCTGGAGAAAACCCCCAGCTAAACTGCCACTTGGCAGGAGCCATTGCCTGTACAGATGTTTTAGTGAGTGCACATAAGTGCAGGCCTGGCTGAGCACAAAATAAGGGATCATCCACCATCACCTGTTGGCACTGTCCTTTATTTGTCTGGGGCCTTGGATCTCTGTTGAACAGAAATTCCCATTCCAGTTGCCTGTCTGGACCACGGCTCTGCCTTCTAGGGAGGGCGCCCTCCTGACCACAACAGATGTCAGTCAGTACCCTACCTCCCCTTAGTGGCCAGTAGGTCGTGATGGGTCTCTTGGACTTGAAGACTAAGACTTGCTCTAAGACTTAGAGCAACCTAGATGGGGCAGACCTGTCTTGATCTTGCCCAGCTGAAACTCCACCAACACTGGTCAACCGGGTGTATCCCCAAATCCCCTCGTCTGCAGGTGGCAAAAGAGGTCAGAAAAGGGAGCACGGCTTTGTGCAGGTTTTGACTACCAGGCAGTGATGTCATTAGGGCGTACATAGTATTAACTTGGAGAGAGTTTGGCACACAGCTGAGCAAGGGTAAAAAGACCATCTGTAACGTGTCCCTTTTCCAAGAGAGGCAAGGGCTGGAGGTGGAGGCCTTCCTTCCCCTAGAAGGAATGCGTCCTCCTTACTCTGCGCTCCGTTCCAGCACCCCCATTCCCTGGGGCGCCTGGCCCCTGGCTGCGCAGACCCCTTTTCAGTCTGGACTTATCAGACACAGAGGATTCATTCCCTCGCCGCACTGGGCCACTGGAGGTTCCGGCCGACAGCCATGTGTTTGTGCAGGTGCGGGCGCCTGAAACACCGGGGGTGGGTGGGAATAAATGGGGACCGATCGACCTTGATGGCGCCTTGGTTCCTCAGGCAGCCCTGGCCCGTCCTTCACCGAGATGGGACCTGGCCCTGCACCGCTGCTCAGTAACGCCTTCCTCACGCCCGGCCCTGGGGCCTGCCCTGGTGCTTCTACGTGGGGGCTGCCCTGCTGACGCCTCTGTCAACTTCTCACCACCTCCACACCCGGATGCTGCTCGCCCCACACGCTTCAGCTTCCGCCTGCGCCCGGTATTCAACGCCTCAGTGCAGTTCCTGCACTGCCAGATAAGCCGCTGCCGTCGCAGCCACCGCCACCGAGCTCCCCACCAGACACCGACGCCTCTCACCCCGCGATCGCCATCGCAGGTGCGCGCGCTTGCAGAAGCAGTAATCTGAGCACCCGCGGAAGATTTTCTGTAGTTAGCCACAAGCGTCTCTGGCAGCCGAGGGAAGAACTCTGCCAGGTTTAGGGGCCTGGGAAGCAGAGTGCTTTATGGTCTGGGTTCCTCTTAGGATGGGTACTGGGTACAGAGCTACCCCTCACGGATCTACCTGCACAAGGACGCTCCAGGAGACAGGAAATGCAGAGCATTAGACTCTGGGATCCTTGGGTGGGAATCTAAAGTTCTTTTAGGGCTGGAAGACTGGATGCAGAAAACTGTGACACGTCCAAACTGATTTGGGTGTCTCACTTGGGACCTAGAGGCTGGCATATTGGGTATTCTAGGGCTGAAACCACTTCTCTGTTTAGGGGTTGGGCCCAGGAGTCCTGTGACCTCTTAGCTCTAGTGGAAAGCTGCAAGTTTAAGTCCATTTTAGGAGCTCTGGGGGACCTGATGCCTGGTTTCTTCCCTCCCAACCCAGTGTCTGCCTCAAGATGAGGCATGCGCAGGCAGCGGTGAGAGCCTTGGTACCGACAGCCCCCACCTGCACACTCTGACGCAGCCCATCGTGGTCACAGTACCTCGTCCACCCCCTAGTAAGCTCACAAGCGGCCCTGGAACTCGGGTGGAAAATACACCTAGGTCCAGGGCCTGGTCTCACCCTCGCACACATCCCCATAGGGCCGTCCAAGAGCCTCCCCGGCAGGGCCGTGCGTCCAGAGCCGCCCGCTCCAGCCGCTGCAGCCCTGGAGCCCGCACCAGTGGTGGCGTTGGTGTTGGCCGCATTCGTGCTGGGTGCTGCGCTGGCCGCTGGGCTCGGTCTCCTCTGCGCGCACTCAGGTACCGACTTCTGTCCCGCCAGAACCCAACACCTATTTCCATACCTCCCCCACGTCACCCCCCCCCCCATGTGCCCCATCATGCTGAACTTTCTTGGATCTGGCCCTCTGGGCTAGTACACTGCAGCAGCTTCCACCAGGGGGCGCGCTTACCCTGGCGCAGTGCACAGGCAACCCCTATTCCAGCCAGCTTCTTCTTTCAGCACCTCCAGCCCCCGGCCAGCCTCCTAGAGCGCCCCCCAGCGGCCCCCAGATCCAGAGGCCCTAGTAGGCAGGTAAGTACAGGGTCCGAAGGAGGTGGTGGTAAGAGGTGAAGCTGGAAATAGAATCTGGGGGATGGGGTCACCACCAGTGAAGAAATGGGGTTCTTAAGATTTAAACAGGCACCAGGTAAATGTTAGGGATTTAGACACAGTTCCTAGTCTCACACAGGCGCATAGATTGATGGAGGAAGCCAATACCCGCTGGGAAAATGTGACCTGGTGATCCTCTGCCGCCTCCTCTCTAGAGATGGCACAACCCAGTGAGGTCCTGCGACGCATCCAGCCATGGATTCAGAACCCTTTGGGAGGACTCATGCACATCTCCCCTCCCTCCACCTCGTCCGTACTCCCCTGGTTCAAAATAAATTTCTTACCTGCCTGCTAACTTCTAGTGGAGTTAATGAGCTCCCAAGCACAGGGTGGCGGGGAGGGCAGGAAAGGGAGCTCCATGTTGTTCCTGGGAACCAGAACTTGGAAGATTCGTGGCTGGGAAAGACAGATTGGAGGGGCGCGACTCCAACCCCCGTGAACACGTATACCCAGGGAGAGTCAGGGGCCATTTGCCTGGAACAGAAAATCACACCCAGCCTGGCCAGCTTAAGTTTCTTCCTCCACTCCAACACCGAGGCTCACCCATCCCCAGACTCCGCCTTCTTTCAGGTCTCTTGAATCCCTCCTGCCACCACCACCCCCCGCCCCGCCCCGCTGCACTTAAGCAATAATAGAACTTCCAGGTTTAGTTTCCCAGCGAGGAAACTGAGGCTCAGCAATACTAAACCACCTTCGCCAAAGTCCCCAGGGCTGTCTACCCCCATAATCCAGACCTGTTTTTCTCTCAAGCTAGGCTTTCACTATGTAGCCCAGGCTAACCTTGAACTCAATGGTCTTTCTGTCTCAGTCCTCCAAATGCTGGGACTAGTAGCCACCACTTCTGGCAAGCCAGGGTTGGTTGGTTTGTTTAGATTTATGTGTGTGTGTTGCCTGCATGTATGTATGTGCTCCATAGCATGCCTGGTGCTTGGGGAGATCAGAAGAGGGCATCGTGTCGTCTACAAGAACAGCAAGTGAGCCAGGTGTAGAGGTGTATACCTTTAAATCCACCATTCGGGAGGATCTCCGAGAGTTTGAGGCCAGCCTGGTCTACATATCGAGATCCAGGCCACCAGGGCTACCTACATAGACCCTGTCTCACAAATGACAAGCCCAGGATTTTTAGGGCAGCTGCCCACTTCTCTGCGAAAAGGAAAGCACACGGTACGGGTTCCATGAGTTGGCTAAGGAATATAGGGTCTAAAGTTTTGGCTCCAGCTCATGAGTGACATAAAACGCAGATAAAACTCGGGGATCCTCCGCCAGCCTCCGTCTCAGCAACTCCTCCAGAGCCACGCCCCCATCTGCTAAGTCGTCCGCGCAGAGCTTTTTCAGACCTTCAGAGCCGCCGTAGTCCCGCCGGCTAGGGAAGAGACCGTAAGACTCCGGCATGAAGCCGCCGCAGCGACGGCGGACGGTCCCGGCCCGCTACGTGGGTGAGGCTACCGGCCCCACGGCTTGGAGCCCCCGCGAGATGCGGAATCTACTGAGACTTCTTCAGGCTCGGCGGGGACAGCCGGAGCCAGACGCCGCGGAGCTGGCCAAGGAGCTGCAGGGCCGCAGTGAAGCCGAGGTGGCGCCCGGGGCTGGGGGCTGGGGCTGGAGCTGGAGCCGGGGCCGGGGCCAGGGCCTTGCCGAGCCGGAGCGGAGCGGAGCGGGCCGAGTGGGTGGAGCGCTGTGGCCTGGGCCAAGGTGGAGCTTAGGGCGGGGTTGTGGTGGAGCTTTGGAGCGGATCAAGGTGTACCTAAGGGGCCTGACTGTTTAGGGCGGGGCGACAGTGAAGCTTAGGGTAAAGCCTTGGTGAAGCGGGGACCCGGGGAGCTTAGGGGCGGGGCCGAGATGGCGCGCTACTAGATTGTGGGTCTGCATGTAAGTGAGACATAGAGGAGCTGCTGGGCGGTGGTGGCACACGCCTTTAATCCCGGCACTCGGAGGCGGAGGCACGCGGATCTCCGATTTCGAGCCTGGTCTACAGAGCTAGTTCCAGGACAGCCAAGGCTACTCAGAGAAAACAAAACAAACAAACAAAAAAAAAAAATAGCGGAGCATAAAGAGGTAGTACGTGAGTGGGTACACTTGGGAGTGGGGCGAGAGCAGTGAGTCTGTGGGTAAGACTGTGGAGAGGAGTGTGGGCCGGAGGAATCAAAGGGCTGATTGAGCAGAGTGGAGGTGAGTGGAAGTGAGGCGGGGTGGAGTTGGTAGTGGAGGCATATATACCCTTAATCCCAGCACTCAGAATCCCAGCACTGGTAGACCTCTGAGTTCAAGGCTAGCCCAGTCTACATAGTTCCAGGACAGCCAGCGCTATTTAGAGAGAACTGCCAGTGCTAAATAAATCAAACAAACAAAAAAGATGGGCGTAGAACCAAAGTTAGTATGAAGTGAGATCCAGGAGATGGGGTGGAGTGGAAGTGAATAGGTTAGTTCTCATAATAAGAGCAAGCTATAGCCCCCGGAAGGAGCAAGAACAGGCCTGGCATTTACATTTTCATTTACATTTTCATTAGGGAGCTGGTCACACACTGGGTCCTTGGCTTGAGTCCCAGCAGTTTCGGGAATGTGCAACATTGGGCGCCGGGATAGGGAGCAGTAGCGGTCCCTGAAACAAGCAAGGCAGTAGATCTTGTCTGTGTTTCTGAGCTCATAGAAGGCTTGTCCTCCTTCCCAGATCTGCCGATTTATCCAGCAGCTCAAAGGTCGAGTGGTTCGTGAGGCCATTCGGAAGGTGCACCCAGGAGGTCCAAGGCGTCGAGAAGCACAGCTCCCAGCCCCTGTAGAGGTGAGGCGGGAGGGTGAGGTGAGGGCTGCCCTAGGCTGGCTCCTGAAGGAGGAAGGATAACCTGGTCAGAGGAATCCAAGGAAGGGCAAAGCTTGGGAGACTGCTGAGGTCTGTGCCGGAGACTAACAATGTACCTCCTGGCTTCACCCAGGTATGGATGGATCTTGCTGAGAAACTAACAGGCCCACTGGAGGAAGCCCTGACTGCAGCTTTCTCTCAGGTACACCCGCTGACCCTTGGCACGTCAAGGGTATTTATTACAGGACATGAGTGGGTATGGCCCAGTGGTAGAAAGCCCCTGGTTTTAGTCAGGCAACGGTGTTGTATATAACCTCCAAATCTGAAGGAGCAGAGACTGGCCAGTGAGTTCTACGCCTCTCCTGCCCCTACCCAAAAAGTAAAGAAAAATGTAGCTCTGGATCCTGGCCCTTTCCCGTGCCAAACCAGTGACTCCAGTGAGGCGTCGACACTCGAGCCATGGTGTCTAAGGGCATCTCTTGTGTGGGCCACCTTCAGAATGGCAAGGAGGATGTGGTGAGTGGGTGGAGGTAGAGGTCTTATTCTAGGCCCAGCGGGGCAATGGAAGATGAAAGACGTCCCCCTTCCTTCTCTGTCAGGTGCTCACCATTGCTGCTGCAGAACCCATCAGCCTCCTGCACTCCCAGCCAGCAAAGCCCACAAAGGCCTGTGCAAAGCCACTGCTGTTCTTGAGGACCCAAGGAGAGCAGAAGAATCCTGTCCTTGAAGCTTCTGGGCCTGGCCCTGTGACTGCTGACCCCACCCCCGAGGCCTCTGTGCCTGCCCCTAAGGCTTCTGATCACAACCCTGAGACCTCTGGCCTTGCCTCTGTGGTTACTGTGTCTGATGCCCCAACCAAATCCCTGGCTGGCCCCTCCACAGAGACAGACTTTGTTGTGGACTTTGAGAAGATCTACAAGTATCTGTCCTTCTCCTCTAGAAATGGCCATGGCCCTGAGCTCTCAGCAGCTGGTAAGAGGAGCTGGGGAGGAGAGGGGTTGTAGTCGGGGAGGGGAATTGGGGTGCAGAGTCAAACCTTGTCCTCTTGTTCTTCCCTTTCCTCCTGTCAGAGTCAGCTGTGGTCCTTGACCTGCTCATGTCACTTCCAGAGGAACTGTCCCGCCTGCCTTGCACAGCCCTGGTGGAACATATGACCAAAACTTATGCTCAACTGATGGCCCCCCAGGCCTCCCTCCCTAGTGGGAGCCCCAGGCCTGGGAATGAAGAAGGAGGGGCTGGCTGCAGGGGGCCAGAGGAGCCTGGCCAAGCCAGTCCTCACGCTTCTGAGCCCACAGAACAGAGGCCGGCCTGGCAAGAAGTTGGGATCTGCCCATTGAACCCATTCCTGGTACCCCTGGAGCTATTGGCCCAGGTGCCCACCCCTGCGAGGTGAGGAATACAGAAGGCCAGAGAAGCTGACTTCTGCCTGGAACTTCAGTCCACCACCACTTACTGGGTGGCCAGGAGGATGTGGAAGTCCCTGACATGGTGTCCAGCCACAGGCTAAGTCTTCAGATGCTGCCTCAGAAAGGGAAGTACAGTTGTCATGAATGGAGATAGAGAACTCTGCACACAGGCAGGATTCCTGGACAGACAGACGGGGCTGGCTTCCCTAGCCCAGCTGTGCCTTGTTCTCTGCTGTGGGTACCCTAACAGCATCATGTTTCATGTATATGCCCTCCTGAATCTGCGCTTGCATTAGATTCTCCTAGCTCAACTGACCACTGTACAGTGCTCTCCACTCTTTTCTGGGGTGTCCTGTGACTTTCAATAAAGTAATCGAAGCAGCTAACTGTGCTCTGGTCCTCGTGATAAGAATGGGAGTAGGGGCTCTGAAATGACACAATCTGGGAGCTGGAGCAAGACGCCAGGGAAGAGGGCGCTGTCTTAGCAACGCTGGTGACTGGGATGGGGAGATCGCTCCAAGGGTGAAATGCTTGGTATGCAGCCTGGCAGTCTGAGATTAATTCCTTAATTATTTCTCACGTAAAGGTGAAGAAAACAATTCCTGAAAGTTGTCTGAACGCACATGCTATAGCCTGTACATCCACATCATGCGCACAAACATACAATAATTTAAAAAAGCTGTCATCTAGAGTGACCTTAGTGTGGCGTAAAGAGCTCCTTGGTGACTGTGTGGAGGTGGCTCTTTGTCGAAAGGGACAGTAGGGACAAAGTTTCAGAGCAAAGCGATGATAGATCTACAGATGTCTGAAGCTGGCAGTGTGGCAGCCAGATGGAGCAAAGCCCTGGTTCCAGGGAGGTAAGAGGTGGATTCCTCTGGGGGACTAGCAGAGAGGTGAGGAAGACGGGCAAAGTCCCTTCAAGTGGCCTTGGAGCCTCAACCACCCTTAGGAATGAAGGGAGGAGGGAGGCAGAACTGGAGGGCCTTCAGGATGGTGTGGGTTAGAGCTGGGGGGAAGTGGCTGGGGTCGTAGTTGAACCCCAAGACCCCACACTTGCCTTTCGCTGTTGGGCTTCCCACCATAAGCTCCAAATGCCCTGTGAGTATAAAGTACAGGGCATGCCTGGGGAGCTAGGCCTCTTTTGGGGAACGAGGTGCCTTGCCATGATAGCACCCTCCCCCCAGCCTAACGAGTTGTCTGAGAGTGAGTAAAATTTCTGTTCCCTGAGCTGTGCCTTCGCCTGGCTTTCCTTTTATAGAAAGGCTCGATTCTCCCCACACACATTGCACACGGCTCCCTGAGGCTCATAACACATCTCCCAGGCAGACTGGAGCCTAGCCAGCCCACTGCATGGTCACAGGCCCACAAAGCCAAACACACAGGTTCTGAGGCACACTGGATGGTGGGGCCAGGAGGGATCGGGCTCAGCAGTTTGGGGGCTGCAGTCTGATTTTTGGAAAACCACCTCCAGGATAGCTGGAGGTACCCCATCCCAGCTCCCCCTAGTCCCCAGTGACTCCCTGGGTCAAGGGGGAAAGAGTGTATGTGTGGGGGTGTCTCAACTATGCCATGAGATGACTGTTAGCCCCCCCCCCCCAAGCTACTGAAAGGATGTGCATGAAATTGGGTATTTGCAGGACTAGGCAGCAGTTAAAACAGCAGATCTGGCTTCTAATTTCAGATCAATGGCTTGTGACAAGTCGTTCTAGCGGCTTGGACTTCAGTCCCCCAGCCTGGAGAATGGGGATCCTAGCAGGGGCTTGGCTCTTTCTCACAAATCCCCAGAAGCAAACGGGCTAAGAACAGGACTGGCTAACTCAGCACTCTGCTTGGCATGCAGTAAGCGCTCAATAATATCTTTTATTATCATCTCCATCGTTCAGAAGCAGGGAGGAGAGAAAAAGCAAGGAAAGGTTGTGGGGCCATGGAGTTGGGAGGCAGAGGAAAGGCACTCTAACCTGGGCTGGGGCTGGGGCTGGGGCGGGGGTTTCGGGTCTGTCTCTGGGGCAGGCTGTACCATGCATTGTAGGTAGGCAGCGTCCATAGTGAACTGAAGAGAGCCTGCCTGCCAGGGCCAGAGCTCAAGGAGCGCCTTGAAATTGGCGATGACCACAGTAGGGGAAAGAAGAAGGGGATAGAGGAGTCCACACTCCCAGGAAAGGATGTAACAACACTCATGCCTGGTAGCTGGGGAAGGCTGAGGGTGGTGCGGGATGATTCGCCCACTAGGGAAACAGAGTTTAGGTACAGCAGTGAGGATGAGTGCGCAGGGAGACGGGGACAGGGCAGATAAAGGCACCAGGTGGGGTTCTGGCCCGGCCAGGAAGGGAGATGGGCGGCTAAGGGGGTAAGGACTGGATTTCTCTGAGCGCCTTCAACTTTGGGCTAGGGCATCTGGGGTACAATACTGAGTGCAGTCCAGGCTTGGGGCATTCCTCCACCGGGCCGGCCCTCTCGGATCGGAGGACCGGCCCGGGACCGGGTGCCCCCTCACACCAACGCGTAGTCGAACTGCCCTCGTTCGAGCGCCTCCTTGTGGTCGGTCCAGGACGAGGCGGGCATGCGGCTATAGGGGTCTAGCAGTATGCGCACACAGCGCACCATCAACAGGACCAACACCACGAGCAGGCAGAGCACGAAGGCGAACACCGTGCGTTGCTCGACGTCCAGGCCCGCGCCCACCGGGGGCCCCGTCGATGGCGGCAGCGGCTCCGGTGACAGTGTCCACGCCGTGCTCATAGCTCACATCGCCGCGCGCCCTGCGGAGAGAGGGGTGCCCACCCCGGGGTCCGCCGGGATGAGGCTACGCCCTCCCTGCACCTCCATCCACCCCTTCTGGAGTCGCCCCTTTGCAGTATCCTCAACATCGTCCCTGTCCGTGCTGCCGTCTCCGGGCTACGCCCATGCCCAGCCTGTGTGCTCCGCCGCCACAGCCACGAGGGTACCCAACTCTAGCAGTGCTCGCAGGTGGGGTCCCTGAGAGCCAGGACAGGGCTACTCAGATCCGCCCAGCCCGCGCACAACAGGTGCGAACGCGCTGGGCCAGGGGCCCGAGCTGCACGGTTTAAACTGGTCCCCATCCCGCTTCCTTTGTTCTCCGCGGCCCAAGACCCCCTCCCCCACCCGTCGCCGCCTCCCCAGCCACAGCGCGCCCCCCTCACCCTTGGTCCTAGACGGGGACCGGCCGCCCCGCAGCCCCTCTCTCTCCCGGGACTCGTGCGCTGCTCTGCTCTCGTCTTCCCGGGGTGGCGGCGGTAGTGGCGGAGGCTGTGGCAGCCCCGGCTCAGCCCACCCCACCCGCCCCTGGAGCGGTGGAGACCGAAGGAGGAAGGAGAGACGCGCGCCAGCCGGGCCGCCGCGGCTGTTCCCATGGCGACGGGGGCGGGGCCGCGAGGGTGGAAGCTGTGCTGGGAGCAGTGCCTGGGCTTGTGACCCCGCCCCGGCCTGCCTACCGGGAGACTGGACCTACCCACCACTCGTGCCTGCACAGACAGCCCCAGCTCCAACTCCCAGAGCACCCAGGACCTCACCAGGGCGTGGGTAGTTGCTAACCCCCACCACGGAAGCCTCACCCTGACCTCCGTGTCTGTATCTATTCTTCCTGGCTGACCCCTCATCCCAATCTCTGTTTTAGGAGGATCCTGATGCCCCCAGGCACCGGCCATTAGTGTTTAAGCTGCTCAGTCTCAGGGAATCCCCAATTCAACAGAGACCCCAGATAGCTAGGGTGGTTATTCTCCCCAGAAGAGGGCAGGGTCCTGGACTGAGAAGGCGGCGGCGGCGGCACCCTAGCTGGCTACAATCCTCCCCTGACCTTGAAGGTCTCTCTATGACAAGCCCTCGGTCCCAGCCTTCCCAGCAGAGACGTACACTTCAGACTGTTCAAATGGCTCTTCTGCGCTTTGGTGTTTTATTATGTCCAGATCTTAGGCTTATGTACAGGAAGTAAGAGCATTGATTAAAAAGAAAAAAAAAAAAAATAAGGACCTAAAGTGAGTGGCCTGGCAGGCAATGCCAGCGGACTACTTAGAACAGCAGGCCAGGCCTCACCCCACCGCCCACAGGAGTTCCTGGGCAGGGGCCTCTTGACACTACCAGCCCCCCTGTAGCATCCTGGGGAACATCCCAACCCTGCGAGGCACCTCCATCCCGTTTGTTGTCCAGCTGGTTTCACAGCTGCCCTGAAGAACTTGCAGCAGGGGCCATACATAGTCTTGTGCCAAGCTGCCTCAGGGAGACTCTGTCCCACGACGGTCTAGCTCCTCAGCTGCCTAGACTCCGCCGCCGCCGTCCTCAGAGTATCTGTTCTGTGCTGGAAGCTGAGATGTCCAGGAGGCGCCAGGCAGCGTAAGGGTTGAGCTCTTCCTGGTCTCTGCAGAGTGCCCACACGTACATCATGCGTAGCACCTTGTCCTGTGGAGACCCGGCAGAGTGAGGGCCAGGCTTGGTGGGTGTACCGGGGAGGCTTCTGAGGGAGGCAAGGACACTCTGGGAGGGGGCAGGGAGGGGTGCCTGGGGCTGCTGGCTGTGGTCACTGCTCAGATAAGATGGCAGATCCTCTGACTTCACAAAGGTCCCAACTCCTAGTTGTTTCTCTTCAATTCCAGAACCCTCCTGACTCCAAGCTGGGGTCTATGCTGGGCAGGGATGCACAGGGCTTTCTGTGCGAGGAGCTTTCCCAAACCTCCATTCCCTCAATCCCCACTCACCGGGTCACCCTCAACCACCTCGTCTTTGGGGTTCTTGATCACCATCACCAACTGAGCCTGAAAGGTGACGATCAGCACAGGGCCCTGCTCCATCATCTTGCCCATGGCCAGCTGCAGGCAACAGAGAAGCACGGGCCTCAGAACAGCGTCCCCTCCCTCTACCCAGGACATGAAAAGCCCCCAAGCTGCACCCTGTAGGAAAGAGGCCTGACACCTTGTCCTGATAAAAGCATGGTACCCCTGCGCCACTTTGGGTTCCTTCTCATAGACAACACCAGGCCTTCACTGTGGGACTTCCCTGTTCCCAGATTGGGGGTGAGGTAGGGCAAGAAGTTGGCACTGCTTTGCCTGCAGCTCCCACCAGGGAAGAAGTCTGACTGAAGGTCAGCTGCCCGTTAGGCCATGCTGCAGAGGCAGGAACGCCACTGCAGTGGGGCTCAAGGGCCCTGAGGCCTTGGCCACGCTCACCAGGGCCCAACAGCACAGGTGCTCCTGGATGTAGGGTGAGGAGCGTCCTGACAAACCCACTTGAAAATATCACTGACTAGGCTTGGTGGTGGGCACGCCTTTAATCCCAGCACTGGAGAGGAAGAGGCAGGTGGATCTCTGTGAGTTCGAGGACAGCCTGGTCTACAGAGTGAGTTCCAGGACAGCCAGGGCTACACAGAGAAGTCCTG